TACTAACTAGTCCCCATATTTACAATTCATTGTCTGTGGTGGGAGGGGAATAAAACAACAATTCTAAAAAACTCGCCCCAATGAGTATTTACAATATGAACACAAAAAACTATTTCCAAGAAACTAAAGAAAAATAAGATTAGTAATAAAACATTTGCAAAAGAGCTAATCCTAACAATTACCTTGAAAGTATTTATAGAAAAGATAAAAGGAAGCAACTTTATAATTGTAGGATAAGCGACTGAAGCCGACATGCCAGGTCAGGACCAATAAGAATTGCTGATCAGGTCCTTTATATAAAGATAGGTAGCAAAAGCGTGTAGTGTATTCGTACCTCATCATTTCGAAAATAGTTTTTATTACATCTATTTTTTTTAATACTTTACAATGGAAATTTCACAGTTTTATGAATACGATTGGCAACAGAAGGAAAAGTCTAATATGCAAATTAGGAAATTTGAAATTGAAGATTCAAAGAAGTACAATCTGGGAAATGTTTTAACAGAGGACATGAAGTGCGACACTGAAATGCAAAGGTTGCACTGGGATAGTGAATAATGCCTTCCAAAAGCTAAGTAAAGTATTAAGAAGCTGGAAAATTTAATTCTGTTTTTCTTATATCTTTTCAAACTTTCTTTCTTTTATCTTTTCTTACTTTCTTTCTTTCTTCTTTCCTTTCTTTCTTTCTCTCTTTTATCTTTTCAAACTTTATTTATTTCCCGACCTCATTCCAACGTTTCTTTTTTGTTCTTTCTTTCAGAACTTTATTCGACAATAAATCTGTCTTTCTTTTTTTTTTCTTTTTTTCTTTCTTCCTTTCTTTCTTTCTTTCTTTCTTTTAAAGGGTCCACCCCTTTTGATACAAGTGGACTCGCCCAGTGTATACTTGTACTGCTGCCGGTGAATGCCCGGGTGTTAGACGGGAGATAAACTGATACAGTGAGAGTGTGAGGTAACCGCTTTGTAGGAGTCACAGTTGCGAGCACGTAGACTCAGAAGGAAGTCCTACTTCGATACTGAATTTCCCAGACTATATACATATTATTATTGGTACTAACCGCATTTCTGGATCTACTAACCGTATTACCAATTGTATTATTACGTCAATACATTTATTTGCTATATTTCATTCCTGCGTTTGTCATTCATTTGAGACCGGATTTCATCCCGGAATCCACAACACTTTCTTTTATCTTTTCAAACTCTTCTTTCTTTCTTTCTTTCTTTCTTTCTTTCTTTCTTTCTTTTGAAACTCTTCTTTCTTTCTTTTGAAACTCTTCTTTCTTTCTTTCTTTCTTTCTTTTTTCTTTCTTTTCAAACTCTTCTTTCTTTCTTTTCAGCCTTTTCTTTCTTTTAGTTATTTAATTTTTTATATTAAAAACATACCTATTATTCTTTCTTTCTTTCTTCATGAATATTTTCTCCCATTTTCCTTTCTAATGACTTTTAACTTTATCAGATTTTCTCTCAGGCTTCTTTCTATTTCACAAACCTGTTTTTGTCCATTGAATAAATTTCCATTTTATGTTTACTAAATCGTCCCGGAGCTTAATGAACCCAATTCCGAATTTCACGAATCAAAATTTCTGATTATGCCCGACATTTTATTGTGAAGTTTTGTTTCATTTTCGTTGATCACTCTCTCTATCTCTCTTTCTTTCATTCATTTATTCTTTCTTTCTTTCTTTCTTTCTTTCTTTCTTTCTTTCGTAAAACTAAAATATACAGCTTCAACACACCACAGAATGAATCATGCCGAAAGTTTAAAAAACAGGTTAGAGATTTACTGCTACACCAAAAATTAGTGAACAAGGGACAGGGAAGCTATAACAGCGCTTAACGTACGTGTTAACGTAGGAACAAAGGAAAAAGCAGAATTATATTATGAATAGCATTACCTGTGAAAATATCACGGTTTTGCTATTTTAATTTTCTGATCAGTGATGGATTAAGCATTTAACGGGTTCTCCAACAAAAAAAAGTATCTTTCGAATTTCCTTTATTATATCATTAAATATTTACAGCAACTTTAGAAAATTATTGTAATAAGCATCATGAATATGGACATATTTAAAGAAGTAAGAGGGTAAAAATATTTAAAATTGAATTTTTTTTCTATTTCACTGAAGCAGACGTTAAACATAAAAGAGTGTTATCTCCTGCTCTACGTTCTCTTTCTTTCTTTTTTTCCTGAGACTAACCAGCGTCTGTCTGTGTTTTACCATTCTTTCCTCACAATCAAAGCATTATTGACGAGGTAGGGCGTAACGTACACGCTAAGTAAGTAATCAGCTGAGAAACGAAGCAACACGTAGAATTCTATAAATATTGAACAATTTCGCTCTCTCTTCATCTTTTTTGCTTATTTTGTGTTTTTATTGCTTTCAAATATATTTTGCAATGTAATTTGATTTTAATAAATGTCTTGAACTCGAAACTTGTGCTGATTGTGCCCGCCGTAGTTAGAAATATGCAGATGATGGGTGAATCCTCTTTAGCTATTCAGATGATCGCGGCAGGGTTTAGATTAGGTCAGTTGCATCCCCTATAGGTGGGCAAGACCTCCTTAAAAATACTTACAGACTCGAGTATAAACATGACCAATATCTAGTTTTTGATTCAAGTCTAAGCCAAACCAAAGTTTACACATATGATTCTAGAGAACTTCGGGCCTATGTCCAACAATCAATCTTTGCTGATTCCAGTGTAAACAGTATCCATGTTTAACTATCTTCCTTCAGCCTAATATACCGTCTAGGGGAAGACGATAAACTAAATCATCAGCAAGGAGGTTTTGAGGAGTGTGCAAACAGCTCTTAACTATTGTTGTTTCCAGATCCACCCTGACCCGGGGAGGTATCATCTGTTAGGGTCCCAGCTATGGGCAAATAGGAACCTCTAAACTGGGTTGAAAAAGAAAAAAAAAAAAAAAAACTATGAAAATATAAAAATACTTCCAGTAATAGATTTTAATAGTAAAAAAAAATCCAGCAATAGATTTTAATAGTAAAAAAACATTACAAAACTTCCCAAGGAAATTTCGCTATAAAATGACCCATGAAGAGTTGATATAAACAGCAAAACCAAACCATACCATCTAATGTAAACTGGGCCTATGTCTATCAATCGTTCCATTTTTCTCTAGTGTAAACCGGATCTATATATAACTATCTTTATTTTCTTCTTAAACATTTTTTTTCTTTCTTGTTTGAATTCTTTTGCTGATTTTGACTAGCATCATGTTTAAGCATGATAATTAACCATAATGTAATTTTGGAACAAGTCAAAATCAGCAAAATGTTCAAACAAGAAAGAAAAAAAAATGTTTAAAAAGAAAATAAAAATCCAATTACATTGTAAAAGTTTGTTTTTCTCTTGCAGAATGTCACACTACCAACATCCAAACCTGCACAGTTTTATGAAGATGTTTCAGTCCAAGGGAAAACATTTTTTTCCAAGATAAACAACTATCTTTGCTTTTTGACTATAAAATCGAACCTATGGGTCATTCAGTTTTGGCTCTAGTTTAAAACGAACCGTTTTCTATCTTTCATATCTGACTTTAGTGTAAACCAGAACTATATCCAACGATCTTTCCTTTTTAATCTAGTGTAAAACGAACATTTGTCAATCTTTCCTTTTTGACTCTAGTTTAAAACGAACTTTCGTCTCTCGTGTAAACCGGGCCAATATGTAACTATCTTTCCTGTTTTGGCCTGAGTGTAAACCGAACATTTGTCTAACTATCCTTCCTATTTGGCTCTAGTGTAAATCGGACATATCTGTACTATTTGGTACTCATTTAAGCTGAACATATGTCGAGCTTTTTAACTTATTGTAACTTTTGTCCGATAAGACTTATATTAGAAATCAAATAACCTAACACAGGGTGATATGTTGTTAATTCAACCAGTCAATGGTGAGTTCTTAGTGTGTTGCAAAATACGAATAGTTACTGAGAAGGAAACGTCTTTGAAGAGAGGTAAACCGTCTTTTCGTGCACGTGTGAGGACGTGTGTATTAGATAGATAGATAGATAGATAGATAGATAGATAGATAGATAGATAGATAGATAGGAATAGATAGATAGATAGATAGATAGATAGATAGATCTGAACAAACTGAGATAGATATAGAGTGATAGATAGGAACAGAGGGAAATGGATAGATAGATCTGACTAAACTTAGATAGATAGATAGATAGATAGATAGATAGATAGTTCTGACTAAACTTAGATAGATAAATAGATAGATACATCGGAACAGAGGGAATAGATAGATAGATAGATAGATAGATAGACAGATAGATACATAGATCTGAACCGAGACAGATAGATAAATCTGAACAGATAGATATATAGATAGATAGATGTGATCAGAGTTTGATATTAGATAGATTTGAACACACACACACACACACACACATATATATATATGTGTGTGTGTGTGTGTGTATGTGTATGTGTATGTATGTATAGAGAGAGCCATGAACAGAAATAGATAGATAGACAGATAGATAAATCTGAACATTTGCAGCTACACGCAAAAAAAAGTTCTGACCTTTTTGTCCTGGAACCGTGTTTATAATCTTTGGTATTTTGAATCAGGGTTCAAGCGTTGGTTCCTGTTTGGGATACTGATATATTTCCCGAGCAATATCGCTTAGTACGACACAGTCACGCGTTCAAATGATGACAGGAATTTCATGTTACGACACTTTTTACATGTTGGGAGAATTTGAATGCTAACCGAGAAAATCAGCATTACATTAGCTTTTGCATGAATTCGAACACAACATTTTGGGATTCGTGAGGAAATACGTAATTATGTCAGCCACGAAGGAAACCACTTCAAACACTTATAACTTATTTACAAACTACCGTACCTTGACGTCATTATACCCAAGGAATTTTATAGATTTATTTCTATTTAATATTGTATTAAGGTTCAGAGATCCCATTGCTTTCAAAATTAGAACATGCATGAAACTGAAATTAGATATGTCCCTACTATTACGTGGTTTATATATGTGAGTCTTTAAATATATATATTTTTTACAATTATAACAATATGTAGTATTTCAAGGGAATCAGTTTAATACTTATTAAATACAGAAAACCGAATACGGCCATATGACATTGAAATATCGGTTCTCGGTCGATCACCGAAGGGAAAGGGAAGAGGAAGTGCGGCATACAGGGTAGATATTGGTTGGCTCTAGACTTGAAGTGGCTTGTAGGGATCGAGTCAGTCTCCTCTCAGAAGTCTGTTTCTCAAAGTGATTGTTCTGATAAAGAAGATGTCTGAGTGGAACTTCCTCTTTATCAAAGGAATAGAAAGGGAACGAGGAAGATTTGATGTAGTTTACGGGGAATGACGGTTCCTAGTTGTGAAGGTCTGAACTGGAGGAGCTAAGGAATGTAGCTGGCCTGAATATTTTCAATAACATTAGCGAGAGGTTAGCAAGGTCTTGTCTGTAGGAAAAAAAGGTTGCAGGATGGAAAATAATTCATCACCTACAAGACCGCGTAATATCATTTGAACACTGTCAAGGCTATCTATCTATCTATCTATCTATCTATCTATCTATCTATCTATCTATCTATCTATCTATGTTTGTCCCTATTCATATCTATCTATGCTTGTCCCTATTCATATCTATCTATCTATCTATCTATCTATCTATCTATCTATCTATCTATATGTTTGTTCCTATTCATATCTATCTATCTATCTATCTATCTATCTATCTATCTATCTATCTATCTATGTTTGTCCCTATTCATATCTATCTATCTATCTATCTATCTATCTATCTATCTATATATATATATATATATCTATGTTTGTCCCTATTCTATCTATATATATATATATATATCTATTTATCCCTCTATTCATCTATCTATCTATCTATCTATCTATCTATCTATATATATATATATATATATGTTTATCCCTATTCATATCTATATATCTGTCTATCTATTTGTTCTATCTATCTATTATATATATATATGTTTGTCCCTATTCATATCTATGTATCTATCTATCTATCTATATATATATATATATATTTGTTTGTTCCTATTCATATCTATCTATCTATCTATCTATCTATCTATCTATCTATCTATCTATCTATCTATCTATCTTGTTTGTCCCTATTCATATCTATCTATCCCTATTCATATCTATCTATCTATCTATCTATCTATCTATCTATCTATCTTTGTCTATCTATCTGTTTATTCATATCCTATCTATCTATCTATCTATCTATCTATATCTATCTATCTATCTATGTTTGTCCCTATTCATATCATATCTATCTATCTATCTATATATATATATATATATATATGTTTGTCCCTATATATATCTATCTATATATATATATATATATATATATATATATATATATATATATATATGTTTGTTCCTATTCATGTCTATCTATCTATCTATCTATCTATCTATCTATCTATCTATCGATCTAAAGAGGAGTTACCTGAATGTAGCGTTTTTATTTTCATTATGTTGGCACAAATGAATATCGTGTTGATGGTAGGAGATTGTGAGGAATTTCTTCTCCCTGCTTCTAATTCCCTTCTTGCTTTTCCTCCTATTACTTTTGACTTGCCTTTAATTAAAGCATTTGGATTATTCCTTTCCTCTTCAGCTGTCCACAAGAATAACTATATAGCCCCAATTAAATAAGAACCGCAACCAGAGCAAGGCACATTTTCAGTAGGATGAATGGGAAAGATATTACGGCAACAAAGATAAAATCAGAATCCTGAGATGGAAATTTAGTTGACTCTATCAAGGCGGGAAGTTAGAAATTGTAAAACAGGAAACGGAAAGGCGGGAAAAAAATCAACATCCTGGGAGCATTTGAAACTAGGCGGATAGACAATGGAGATTTTACAAGCAATCATTACAGAATCTTATACGAAGGCGGAAAGAGAAATGAAAGGTCTAATATTAAAGATTAGCGGAAATGCATTCTGGGATAACGGTTACTATCAGACAGATGTCTGGGAATATTAAAAGAGAAAAAAAAACTTAAGTATAGCCATGATAGAATTGTACGAAGCCACATCACCAAACAAAGAGTCAGATGCGTTATAAAATATTAGACATTGACAAATATTTATGCAAATCGCATATTTCCCTCTCATGTTCTGAGATATATATATATATATATATATATATATATATATATATATATATATATATATATATATATATATATATATATATATATATATATATACGTTTTTTTTTGATATATAAACAATATTTAAGTAAATGTCTGTTTATAATAAACAGTATTAACTACATTTATTGGCCTGAATGTTCGAAAAAACTCATAGAAAATATGTGTCCTCCGACAGGAATCGAACCAGTATCCTACATGGAACCGTTATATCGTCTGACGGACTATAATATTTAGCTACAGAGGGAGTGTCAGGTCAGCAAAGATACTCAATTGCTAAATGGTATAGCACGTCAGGTTATATGTCAGTTCTGTGTAGGATATAGGTTCGATTCCTGTCGAAGAGGACATATATTTTTTCACTGAAATTTCTCGGACATTAAGTCCGGTAAATGTTATTGATGCTGTTTATAATAAATGTTTATAATATATTTACTTAAATATTTGTATCTATAAAAATAACGTATAAACAGAAAATATATTAATTTCGGACTTTGTCCATTTCATAATATATATATATATATATATATATATATATATATATATGAAAATTTCTCCGATTTAATCGGTAGAGAAGACAATATTTATGAATAAAAATGACAATAGGAAAACTGGTAATTGCTGACGCGTTTTTCGTATTTTGCTTTGATAAAGTCCACATTGGACGAAACGCGTCAGCAATTACCAGTTTTCCTATTGTCATTTTTATTCATATATATATATATATGTGTGTGTGTGTGTGCGTGTATGTTTGTATGTATGTATATGAGAAAAGACAAGATAAAAACTTTTATGCCAACGCGCTTCGTTTGAAAGGTTTCTCAAGGAACGAAACGGGTTGCTATAAAAGGCTTCTTTTTATCTTTATTCATATTGTCATTACAAATATATTTATATCTGAAATTTTACACACGCATATAACAGAAAGTACAACTGAAATCTTTGGTGCCAACGCGTTTCCTTCCACAAGTAACTTTAAATTTCTTTTCAGATTTAATCCAATCCACTAGAAATAAAGATAGCTTATATTTGAAGAAAAGGAATGTATCCTAAAGTACTACTGTAAGCTTGAATGACGCAAATTAAAGACAATTCAGGAGAAAGTTTCAAACTGATCAACCTCTTCGCCGTCCCTCGAAATATAGATGAGTTTAAAGATGACTGAAAAGTTCAGTATGTTTCCAAAAAAATCTTTCCGGAAATCAAAGGAGGTTGACCAGAACCACAGAAATAGAAAGGACACTAAAAATGTATTTCGAAGCAATGTCAGAGGAAAAGTTAGACTCCAAGAATAGTCTATGCTCTCAACAAAGATGATCTGAACTGTAGAATGGAGTTTTGTGAATTTGGCAAGTTGTTTAGGATGCACACTTTCCAGCAAAGGCTGTCTGCATTAGTGATGGACGATTTGACTCCAGTGTCTCAGTGAATTGGACATGGATCGGCCAAAAAATACGGATAAAAATGGATTCATTGGTGTAGAACGAATGACCAACTTGTGGTTCTAAGTCACCCTAGATGATTGTAAGATACGGAAAAAATCCAGGAGGAGAAATAAAGAACAAACAGAGTACCGAGCAATCATAAACTGATTTATATATACAGTTCTATACTCTAAGATATAGAAAAATGCTGAGTATGGGCAACAACACCTTCCTATCATAAGAAAATGAACGATAAAATTCCAAATGTCTAAAAGTGATCAGGCCAAGTCTAAGGTCAATTACGATAAATTCCAGAACGACTCAGTTTGCAAACTGTTATATGCAATCGCTGTTAAGACTAAATATCAATAGAAGGGAAGGAAAAATACCAACAGAAAAAGTGTTCATCCTTCAAGATCGTTACCTCTATCTATAAAAGGCAGGATGTTTGTGTGAGCGAGTAACGAATGCACGGCCGCAATTTTCGACGGATTTGCACCAAAATTTACATGTATATGCTCCAAGTTAGTGGGAATGCCAAGACCGACTTGGCATTTCCCAAATCCCATCGATAGTGGAAATAATCGATTTTTTCATGCTTCTACGGCAGTTTTCATGTAGTTTGCGGCCATTTTCTACTGGCCAGAGTGAGCGCCTATAGCTGGCTGCCACGAATAGGCAGGAAGATTCTGTTGGCCAGCGTGAGAGCCAACAGATGACTGACACGAATGTTAACTAGCATGCTAGCATGCAAAAAAAAAAATCGATAGCCGCATTCGTCACAAGTGGGAAAAATTTAAATCTGCATGGCACTTTACTCCAATTGGCTCATTCGCTTGCGTGTTGATTCTGATTCCGCAGAACTGGGTTGGGTGTGAAAAAGTATTTGTTGTTAACATTCTTTTTTCATTCGGTTTTTCCAGTTACGAGTCCTTTTTTAAAGCTGATCGTTTTGTGTTCATTTTGTTTAGTTCTTTTTTCGTAACAGATTTAATGTTTAGTATAGAGCTTAGAAAAAATTCGCAGTGCATGACGTAAGGCATGTAGCAACATCAGTACGGCAAAGGACACTCCTTTAAAGGCAAGAAAGGGCAAACATATTTTAAGTCAAGTGAGAGCGATTGCTGTATGAGTCGTACGATTTTTGAATCAAGCACGGGCAACGCCGGGCCATACTGCTAGTTCGTTTATAAAGGACAGCATGTCAGCCATATCTACATATTTGAATTGGCCCCTCATACTGTTCGCGTTTTAAAACTTCTGTCTCGCCTATCTCGATCGAGAAGTTTTTCAACTTGTCAAGTGATAGCGATTGCTGTATGAGTCGTACAATTTTTTAATCAAGCACGGGCAACGCCGGGCCATGCCGCTAGTCTGTAGATAACAGCTTTCAAAGACCAATGTTTAAAAATGGCTTCAATCGAACAAACCCTACACGCTTGAAACAACTGCTTTAATGTCCTTTCTTTCGACATAAGGTCAGTTAAAACTGACCGTATGTCGAAAGAAAGGACCCACTGGAGTGACAGGGTGTCATCTATATCTATTTAAACCAGAAGAGTTTCCGGGACAGTCAATAGTACTTTGATTTGCTCACTAGTATGGCTTGCAAGTGTGTTCCTGCAGCGTCATAATTTTCGTACGCTACCTTGAAGTAACGTCCAGCGCAGATAATGGGTGTCCAGGGTGTAACCGATTTCTATTTTTACTCACAGTACGTCATTTTAGTGTTGTGCAGTATATGAATCTATTTTCAGAGCATCATGAAATTTGCTTGGCCTTGAAAAATATTTTATTTTCCGTGATTGTATAAGATTTTCATCATGCCCGGCACTATTGTCTCGCCTGTCGATTAGTTGTTCTACGGCCATTAACTGCGATGAACGTTACTCCAATGAAGGGTACGGAAATTGTAACGGTGCACGAACACACTGGTATGCCTTACCATTGTGCAAATCAAAGACTATATAGTGGCTCGGAAATTCTCCAGATTTAAATCCAATCAAGAATCTGGTCAATATGCAAAGAACGACTTTGTGGAATGGACATCCGAAGTACTAACATGTGCACTGGGGTATTTTTCATTGGAAAAATACGAAGAAGGTGAATAATGGGATGATTCGTTTTGTTTCAATTAATTTGAACAAGGGCGTACAGAGAACCATACGTCGATCTTCGTAGACTGGCGCTACAGGATCACAAACAAGAACTGTGTCAAATAACGGAAACTACATCACTTGTAGATACAGAAAAATGAAACTCTCGGTTTATTGCAGAAACAAAACAACGAAAAGTATGACAGAAATTTGAACGTACATAGGAAGAAGAAAAATGCCTTTCGGAATCTAAGCAACGTTTTAAGGTACTAAACTGCTGCATCATATATGATCTCTTGTATGCCAGTGAATGCTGGAGAATCACCTGACGGATAAAGAAGTGATATTTTTACAATGATGCTCTCACTTTCTCTATAAGGCCCAACAGCCACTTGAGGTAGAGGGTTATAGAGCAACTGTTTATGTGAATATGCGAAGAAGATAACGGTTTACCCTTGTCTTGAACTGGTTAGGATTGTAATAATCGAGGAAGCATCTTCTTCGGAGTCAGTACCACAAAATAGCGGTTCGTGGGAAGAAGCTGCCCGAGTCTGAACACTTTCCATGGAAATAGCGATAGAACAAAGAAGGGCTTGCGTTTTGTCTATGGGAAGGTGGTTATATAGTAGAAATAATTCATCACCCACAAGGACATGGGGACTCTTTGGGACACTATCGGGACGACTGGAAAGTGAAGTCATCATCATCTTGCGGCCTCAGCTGAGATTGAACTCACTTACCTTTCCAGTATTCCTTATCTGTCATAGCTAATACATTGATTAGTGTAGTTCATAATCTTGTCAAATAGCTGAATTCTTGATGCTTCGCTAGCGCTATCAAGGGTGTTTTTTGTCGTGACACCAACACTAAATGGATTGCCAACCAAGGCTCAGAGAGACTCCATTCA